CGGGCTGGGGATTCGAACCCGCCACCTTAGGTGTACGTGGCTGGCGCCTTAGCCGGTTGAGCTATAGGCGCCGAGCCCAGACTGAAGTTTTTAGAATAAACCACACAAAAGTTTAATTAAAAGGCTAGAAAGGGCAAACCATGATCACGCCAACCAGAAACAAAAGCTGACATAATGACACTCATATCAGGCAAAGGTGGCTTTACAGTAGGAAAAATAATCACAGATGAAGAAGGTGGCTTCATAATGATAAAAGGCCGATCACCAGGAATGGAAACATGCTAAGTTGTATGCATCCAAAAGGAAAGCTTCAAAAAACATAAAGAAATACTTATCAAGTTAAAGGGAGAAACAGATAGACCCACAGTCACAGTGCAGACTTCAGCACAGCTCTCATGGTAACCCGTAGGACAGTCCGGTGGGAAATTAGATGATACTGAAGATTGAACACAACTTATAAAATTGGTAAAATTGGCAAACGGAAATGCCTCTCCAAAAGAAATTGAAGTTTACATAGTCTTTTCAATGGCACATGTAACATTTATCAAAGTCGTTGACATATGGGCCATAAAGCATCCTCTACGAATTTCCAATGGCTGAATTAATCTTAAGTGTATGTGTATCAGACCAGAGAGGAAAGAAGCTAGGAAACCACAAGAAAAGAATAACTGGAAAATCTTCAGAGGTTTGATAATGTAGCAACACACATCGAAATAATACTCGTGGCTAAGGAAGAAATCACAATGGACACTAGAAATTGTTTTGCCTAAGTGAAAACAAAAATAGAATATATTAAACCTTAGGAATCAACTATAGTCATGTTTAAAAGAAAATCTGGCTGGGTGACTTGGCTCACACCTGTAATCCCAGCACTTTGGGAGGCTTAGGTGGGAGGATCAGGTGAGGTCAGGAGCTCAAGACCAGCAAGAGCAAGATCCCGTCTCTATAAAAAATAGAAAAATTAGCCAAGTGTGGTGGCAGGAGCTGTTGTCCCAGCTACTTGGGAGGCTGAGGCAGGAGAATTGCTTGAGTTTGAGGCTGCAGTGAGCTGTGATGATGCTATTGCCCTCTAGCCTGGGTGACAGAGCAAGATCCTATCTAAAAACAAAACAGAAAGAAAGAAAGAAAAAAGAAAAAGAAAATTTATAGCCTTAAATCCGCATATCAGAAAAGAAGGTTTGCTGAAAATCTGTGACTACCCATCTCATGGATAGTAAAGAAAAAAGGGAAAAACCTCCAAATGGGGAAGAGAGGGAAAAGGCTAATAAACAAAAGCTAAGAACAGAAATTAATGAAGCAGAAAACAAACATATAGTAGAGAAAAGTTAATAAAACCAAAAAGTTGATTCTATGGCAGAAGTAAAAGTGTTGGTAAACCCCAGCAAGACTGAGGCAAGAGAGAGGAAGGGTGGAAATTATTGGCATCAGGCGTGAAAAGGAGGGCTTGTGACAGACTACAGAGCCCGCACAGGTGATAGAGGATACCATGAGCAATCTCATGCTAGCAAATTCATTTTCTGTTCTTCCCCCCAAATTTGTACTGCAGTATAATGTGCATAAGTAGGGGCCTAAATTTTAGTGTTTGACGTGATGAAGTTTACATATTCATGAAATGATAGGAGGAGATTCCCACAAGTACCTTCCTGGTCAACACCTTCCCCTCGAGAGATAGCCAAGGGGCTCCTGCCTATAGTCCCAGGACTTCAGGAGGCTGAGGCAGGAGGGTC